CTCTAAAAAAATTTATGCATCCTTCTATTATTTTTTTTACTTCTACATATTTTTTGCGTGTTGAGAAATGAGAACTTCTGAGCTTCCAAATATACTTTAGCTTAGGAATTCACGACTCGACTACTTTAGAGCACTCGAGTGGTCCAACAGGAGACCTCTTCCATGTTCCGAGGTGTCTGGCAACCCTTCGGAGAAAGGTGGAGTAGGGGGAGGGATATTCTCAACCCCCTTCTATTACGTCGAGTGACATCCAGGCTAATATCCTTCCACTTCCTGTCACTCTACTCTCGCGTGTCTATCCTTGTGTATTTCTCTCCCATACTCTTGTCTCTGTATCTTCCTCTACTCTTTTTATTCTTTTTCCAACTTTTTTTTTTATTTGGACGTTCGTGAAACAGCGCACGTTGAAGCACCCCTTGGAGGATATTTCTCGACTGAGCTGTGGAAAAACCACGTCGTTGATCCTAGTTGAGGGAAACATTATCACCAAAGAGGTATTTGCTTTATTTTATTTCTTTTTGCAATCTCGAGGATCACAGTTGGGTTTTTTTTTTCGTTGAATTTGACAACAGAAGATATTTTATCGAAGAATATAAACTCATTCATTTAAAAATATGGATAAATTGATTTCTGTCACGCCATTGTAATAAGATAATAAATTCATAACAACACTAAGATTTTATTCGAATGCAGATAATAAAAACTATAAAATCGATTTTGTATAAATAGACTACTTTGACTTACTTTGTTCATCTCTGTGCGTGAAACTATATTCGTTGGACTTAGTCAATTTTATGAAAGTCATACATACTCTCGGAAACTTTATGAAGAAGTAACAACTTGCCTATTACTACTCAACCTTCTGTACCAAAGAATAAATTTATCGGTAGAATAATCTACTTTTGGTGAGAATTAGTATTCGAACTCGGGACCCGGTACCTGCTGTTATCCAGAGGCCCGACAACTATCCAGAAAAAATCATAAAACTTCAACATTATTAAGGTGTGTTACTCGACTGCCTTACCTCAAATTTTAAGATACAGTTTCGTAAGAATTTCGTCTAAACATACAAGGTAAGAGCTACTTTAAATATTTATGAACATTTCTATTCCTCTAAATTGTTTTCTTGATGTTAAAATTTTATCCTTTTTTTTCAGTGGAATGCTTTCATCTTCAGGTTACAAGGACTTTTCACCAAGGTTAACTTTCTTTCTCTTATTCAGAATTTAACAAATCAAATCTAACTTTAAATTAAACTTAATTCAAATAGGGATCAAAAAATCAAATTTCTCTATTTTGTGACGTAACACATGTAAGAAGTGTTTTAAAAATTATATAATAATAAAATGCTTGGTCTGTCCTTCTGTCCTAATTTGAAGTTGGCCTTTTCTGATTTCACGTGTTTTTTTGAATAGTAATCTTATGACGTGTCAAATTTTGACAATTCTTTTTCTCATTTTTGCCAAAGTTGTATAATTGTGTTTCCAAATTTCGGAATAAGTTTCTTTAAAATTCCAAATTCGAAAATTCAATTCACGAAGCTGAAGTACACAACCTTTACCAACGAAATTTTTTTTAAAGTTGTATATTGATTCAAAAATTGTATACAAATACAAAAAATTTATGATAAGAAAAAAAATGCGCCAGGCGTACCAGATAGTAATTTAAAAAAAATTTATTTTTAAAAATTAATTTCTAAGGTACCAGGGGCCAACGAATACCTATTAAATATTAATTATAAAAACACAGGCCTCGAATCAACTTAAAGACACAAAAAAGTCGTTTTAGTCGATTTATATTCCAAAAAAAGTGGATTTGTTTTTTATTTTAACAAAAATATTTTACAGATTTTTAAATAAATTTTTTTTTTAATAATAATCCTTTTCGAAGGGTTAAAGTTGAAATTTTTAGAAATAATTAAATTTCAAAAGATATTGTTAATTGTCAAACAATTATTAAATTTTACAGAACTAAAAAATAATTTATCAAACAATTTTTAGAAAACATTTTTTAAATTTAATTAAATTATCAAAGATTTAGAATTGAGATTTTTGAAATTAATTGAAACTTTAAGTGATTTTTAATTTAAATTTTAGATGATTTCACTAAAAATTTATTAGAAAATGCGGACAAAATACAATAATTTGAAAATCATTTTTAATTGAAAAATGGTTTTAGATAGTTGAATTTTCAAAGAATATTATTAAAATAGTTAAAAATAATTGAATTTCCTTAGAGTTATAATTGAAATTATTAAATTTAAAAAAAAAAATTTTCGATGGAAAATTTTAGAAATAATTAAATTTTAGATGCTTTTAAATTCAAATTATTGAAAATTTAATTAATTTTGAATTCAAATTTTTTAGAATAATGAAATTTTATTTGATTTTAAACTTGGAAAATAATTTAATTTCAGTTCATTTTAAATTGAAAATTTTGGGAAATAATTGAATTTTAATTGAAATTTTTGATAATAAGTTAATTGAAGTTCATTTTTGATTGAAAATTTGGATAATTAATTTTGAATAGAAATTTTAGAAAATAATTGAATTTTATTTCATTTTAAATTGAAAACTTGGTAAATAATTAAATTTTAAATTGAAAATTTTTGATAATTATTTGATTTTGAATTGATTTTGAATTAAAATTTCGGGTAATAATTGAATTTTAGTTCATTTTGAATTGAAATTTTTTAAAAATAATTAAATTTTATTGTGATATTTTTTTTAAATTATAAACAATTGTTAAATTTCATAAAAATTTTAATTGAAAAATAATTTTGATATAATTGAATTTGTGATGTATTTCATTAAAATTATTAAAAATAATTAATTTAGTGAAGAATCATTTTAGTTCAAAATTTGTTAAATAATTGAATTGAAGAAGATCTGAAGAAGATCTACATTTTATACTAAAAAAATGTATTTAATTTACATTTTTTTCAAATGTAAAAAAAAATGTCGCATTTTATTAAAATAAGTCGATAAAAGTCGTATTTTTAAAAAAAGTCGGAAAAAGTCGTATAATCCGAGGCCTGTAAACATATAATTTTCATTATTATCATTTGATATGTAATAATATTCTAATAAATTAAATTATTATTGATAACACAGCCTTACAAAAAAAAGTGTCATGTACTTTTGACCGGAATACCCTAACCCTATGTATTTTGACGCGCTGAACACGAATCCGAAGTCCGTTTTGCTCCATCACGTCAGGATTTTTTTCTAACCTCAAAAAACATGTCGGATTTTGAGAAGTAGGCGATTTTTTAAAAAATTGATGTATTAACTTCAAACTTGGTATCTGGGGGTTTTTTGTGTCGCTGATTACGAATCTAAAGTTAGATTTTCAAAATCCAAAATGGCGGATCCAATATGGCGGACGAATTTTGAAAAATTTTAAGATTTACTTCAAACTTGGTATCTAGAGGTTTTTTGGGTCGCTGATTACGAATCTGATGTCAGATTTCCGAAATTCGATATGTCTGATTCAATATTAAGGAATTATTTTTAAAAAATTGTCAGATTATTATGAAATTTGGTATCTACAGGTTTTCTAAGTTGCTGACAAGTAACACTAGGGAAGTGCCATACGCCGATTTTTCTGAAACTTGGCAGTTTTGTAGTTTTTTGAAAACAATTTGACACGTATGTTTTGTTTATCCCCAAAAGCTGATTTATGGGGTGAACTACCCCTTGAATTTTTTTTGGTAGGGGGACATTATTTTACGAAATTTTTTAAAAATTAATGTGCAATAGTGTATCTGAGGGTTTTTGGGTCACTGATTACAAATCTGATGTCAGTTTTCAAAAATTGATAATGGCGTATCTAATGTGGCCGATAGAAGTCCATGTTGAATATGCCATTTTGAATTTTTGAAATCGGACATCAGATTCGTAATCAGTGACCCAAAAAACCCCTAGATACACTATTGCACATTAATTTTTAAAAAATTTCGTAAAATAATGTCAAAAAACTACAAAACTGCCAAGTTTCAGAAAAATCGGCGTATGGCACTTCCCTAGTGTTACTTGTCAGCAACTTAGAAAACCTGTAGATACCAAATTTCATAATAATCTGACAATTTTTTAAAAATAATTCCTTAATATTGAATCAGACATATCGAATTTCGGAAATCTGACATCAGATTCGTAATCAGCGACCCAAAAAACCTCTAGATACCAAGTTTGAAGTAAATCTTAAAATTTTTCAAAATTCGTCCGCCATATTGGATCCGCCATTTTGGATTTTGAAAATCTAACTTTAGATTCGTAATCAGCGACACAAAAAACCCCCAGATACCAAGTTTGAAGTTAATACATCAATTTTTTAAAAAATCGCCTACTTCTCAAAATCCGACATGTTTTTTGAGGTTAGAAAAAAATCCTGACGTGATGGAGCAAAACGGACTTCGGATTCGTGTTCAGCGCGTCAAAATACATAGGGTTAGGGTATTCCGGTCAAAAGTACATGACACTTTTTTTTTTGTGGGGCTGTGTAATATTAATCTTTAATTTCTATATAACAAACAATTAAATATTCAATTTGGCGCGCTTGCGCGCGTTTAATTTTGCTAGTATTATAATTTTATGATTGTCACTTTAAAAAAAGTTGAAAATATTTAATAAAAGAAGTTAAATTTTGAGAAATTTGCATCCAAGGGTGTGAAATGTGGTCACATGCGGTTTTGTGGAGAGAATTTTGTTCGTACATCTAACACGATCGATCTGTGATGCGTTTAGTGCTCGTTTAATGGCATCGTTCAGCAAACCACGTAGTCGCTGTGAATTGGTAGCTGAACTTTCGCGATATTCGTGCTTCCTCAATACCAAAGGGAATTTCGAATTTAGTCTAAAGTTACGGTATATAGTGACATGCGGAGACAATCACCTGAAACCCTACTACTCCAATAATTCCATACATAAAGTTTTACCATCCAAGTTGAATCATGTACAAAAAAAATAATTTCCAAGAGGGAAAAATTAATTTTAAACGACTAACGATTTGAATAATTTATTATTGAACTTAAATTAAATTATAGTATATACAATTTTATAATTTAATGATATCTAAATTAGAGAAATCATCCGTAGTAATCACTGGTAAATCATTGCTAGTAAGATTATGTAATACTTTCCTTATAGCTGTAGGATTGTCTATAGTAATCTGTAAAAAAAATAATACTATTTTGAAACAAAAATTTCTATTTTGTCTTTAATGAAATTTATATTTACCACATGTCCAGCTCTATTAACCCAGTACATTTTCAAATTTCCGTATCCCTTCACGTAACCTTCGATAAAGCCATTTATTAATAATGGTTCTCTGTTGGCAGCTAACCATTTTGTTGAATCTTTCCAAAAGAGATTACTGATCCATTGAAGGGTACCTGATTATTATTTATAAAATCAAAAATTTTTACAAATAAAGGAATAGAACTTTATGTGATGAAAAATTAATTATCAATACTTTACCTGGAGTATCGATAACTAAATCAAATTGTCCATTACAAACAAAGACTTTAAAATTTGGTTGATTAAGAAGATATTCAACTGCAAAACATAATTAAAATCAAAGTAAATATTTTTGACAATTATACATTTAAAGATGTAAATATTTTCCATAAGTTTTCTACTTAAAATACTTTCAGGATTTAAATTTAAATTACTATAGGATTGGAGCTAAAATTCTGTGAATAATAAAATATACGAATGACATGTGACCTTTTTTGGTGACAGGTTTCATTAATTTCCCTGCAAGACGTTTATAAATAGGCGTGCTTTCTAAATTGAAATAACTCCCATTTGGTAAATTGAGCGCTGACTTTACTCTGGATTCCATTAAATTCTTTATTATTACTTCATCTGAAAATATTTATTTCTTACATAATTAAATTTCTAAACTAGAGATAATTTTCAGAATAGACTCCTTTTATTAATAATTTTAGTGTATAGTTTAGAAAGAATTCTTATGATATCTAGGTTATATTACCTTTAGCATATGGATCAAAACGATGATGATCGTTTTTCATTTTCGATAAAATATTATAGAAATTTACATTTCCTGTATATTTTTCAATGGCACGGATAGTAGATTGCATAAGTTCATGTGCACCATTCCAATCTTTCATTTTTGCACTAAGTTTTGTTTGCTTAGCTAAATCCATAATCGCCTTATATCCTTCTTTATCAACTAACCCCTAATAAAATTAAGTTTTTAATTTTTATAAAAATTAATATAAACCAAAATATATTTTATATAGTAGAAAAAAATAGATTACATTATGATACAAATATGATCCCCATGTTAGAACAGAATCAACTGGTGAAATCCAAGCGCTTATAAGTCCAATTCCTTTTAAATTAGTAAAATTCCAACCGTTTTCTATTTTCTGTAAATTAAAAAAAGAACAGATGATATTGTATAAAAGAATAATCTGTCATAATTTATAAATAGCTTTTTTTACCCGAATCCATTCATAAGCCAAGGTAGCAGCTATCTTTCCTCCATAACATTGTCCAACGATATATGTTTGTACTTTGGATAAATTAGGAAATTTTATAAAGAGATGTTCGATTAAAGTAAGAAGATCCTGTACAACTTGTTTTTCTGTTTTTGGAAGATCGTTGCTTGAATTTACATAACTAAAGCCAGTTCCCACTGGACTGTCGATTAAAAGTATATTGTAATCTTTAACCTGTTGTAAAGAAAAAAAAACATTAATTGTCAGTATTAAATATTGTAATTATTCATATTGAAATTAATTGCCAAATTCTGTAAAAATTTTATTGCTTCTAAAACTAAGATAAGGACCTGTGTCACCATCATTCAAGGAAACAAATAAATTACAACGCTTTTAAGCAGTGGCTGACATTTGGTTAACTCCCTCCGTTCATATTCAAGGTCTTTCTTTCATCCTCTGGTGCAATGTCAAGCTGCAACCCATAAATTCTACTGCTTATTGTTCTTGAGTGTCAACATTTGGGAATTTACTGATACACAAGCTGCGTAAAATTTAAAGAGGGTAAGTTTCTGTCACGCAACTTTATATTTCTGCGTTCCATTAATTTTTAACGCGTTGAATTTGATGTTAAGAGATGACCCTAACGGATTTAAAATTTTTTTCAAACATAATAAATTTTAAACCATTTCTTACCAATGAATTGGATCTAGATGTCAGATTCAAAGTTAAAGGACCAATTTCTTTGAAGTTTGTATAACCTGTTGATGATATTCCTGGACCACCCTCTAACCAAATTAATAAAGGCTTTTCGGTGTATAATGAAACATTAGCAGTTGTATAATGAAGCCAATAAAACATATTTGCACCTTGTCTAACATTTATGAATCCCCATTCTTGTTCACCTCCAAAACCATATTTACCTAAATGTAATTACAAAAATTTAAATTACATAAGTGAATGTTAATTTTATATATATATATATATATATATATATATATATATATATATATATATATATATATATATATATATATATATATTCGTACCATGAATACTTGGAAAAAATCCTAGAAACAAAATTAAAATTATATTTCTCAGAGACATGTTGTCACTGTTTAAATAGAACTAATTCTTAACTTAATGACAAAAATTTCAAATTCATTAGATAAAAGTATTTATATTTTTTTTTCGGAAATATTAATTAAGGAATTTTCAACACTTAGATTATAATTTAATATTTATTCAAGTGAATTGCTAATAAATTATTCACTTTTCACAAAAACAGATAACAATAAATTTCTAACGAAAATTGTTAGATATTTTATTCATGATTTTTTTATAAAGAAGAAATAGATGCTTTATATTAAGTTTATCATTTAATTAATGTAATGATTTACTGTGAATAGTATTGTATTTAATCTTAATTTATTGACAATTGCATGTTACTTATTAAAATATAAATCATAATGTAAATTGAAAATTTATCTTAAGAAAAATAAGAAATCACATGAGTAGAATACAATAAATTAATATAAATGAAAAGATTTGAATTTGCATAATTTATACGGTACGACAATAATTACAAATTATGATTTACGATAAGATCGTTTTTTCAGAAAAAAATTTCTATTATCTTTGCCTTGGAGTAAAGAAGAGTCTTATACAAAAATAAAAATTTGGACATAAGACATATTATAATAGTAATTCAACTAAATGTACCTGCCGGAATTGATTATTTGTCAATCCAGAGAAAACTGATATTCGTTATTTTCACTAGAAAATACAAGATTCCTTTATAAAAGAAGCCATTTCATTTAAATGTTCAGGAAAGTTTCACACTAAACATTTATTTAATCGGAACATTAAAATCTTTACACAATTTTCACTAAATATTGCAATTAAATATTCCGAACATTTCAAATAAATCTTTAGGAAATCTTTAGGAAAGTTAAGGTGCTGTGGGGGTAATAGTAATAAATAAACAGGCATATAATAATAAATGTTAAATTGACCTTAAGGATCTTCCGGCGTTAAAATAGACCGTACCTTTCTTTCAACGAAAACTTTAATTTAACGAAAATTACAATAAACGAAAACTCAAAAATAATAAAATATAACGCAAATATAAACCTTAAGCCTTAAACAGAAATAATTTTATTATAATGGTAACAGTAAAGGTTAGTACAAATTTTTATAAGGAATTAAGAAGGATTTAGATATAAAGAGTATTATGACTTACCTTAGAAATTTAGATGTAAGATGTATGAAAAAGGACCACTGCTATGTCCTTAAATATGGGCAGGAACGATTGGTACCAAATATTGCTTTAGAGCTCACAGGAAGGTTGACCTTGATGAAAACCCAAATTATTAAATTCTTCCAGAAAAGGAAGAAGAGATAATTTCCAAATATTATGGGAAAGTTAAAGCCTTGAATACTTAAATGAATTCTTCTTGACGTAAGAACTTTTAACACTTGACACAGAGATTCTTCTAAATTCAACTTGCATATAAAATGGAGTAGGAAAACAGTACTTCTACAAGATTTCGTATATGAAGTTGACGTGCTGGTACCGAAATCTGAACTGGTCTCTCCTGGTAAATGTGGACCTTTTATACAGGATTTTCACAAAGAGGATAGATTAACCGGGTGTAAGAAATAAACTCTCATTAATCTAGGTGCCAAGTCACTCGGGAATCAGAGGAAATGAAAAGGCGGATACCTTAACACGTATTCGGTTTAAGGCATCAATGATAGGCCTGGAATCGCGTTTATGTTGACCGTGGTTAAGGGGATCTTAGAACGATGAAATCGGAGTTGCCACAAGAGGAAGTGGATCGGAATTCGGTTAAGAAGAAAGGCTAGGGCTCTCTTGCGGACAAAACTCAGGAGGAACTTTGCTGTCGATCTCCTAAAGCTTAACAATATCCAAATTAGAACTGTGGTTCGCTTGCTCACAGGACACGGCTTACTCAACTATTATCAGCACAAAATAGGTAGACAAGTGTCACTTAGGTGCAAACTGTCTGAATCGAATGAAGAATCATCGACTCATATTCTATGTCACTGTTCATCGTTTGCGGCAGTTAGACATCAATACTGGGAACAAGCATTTGTGGAACCAAAATGGATTCATAACCTCTTAGTTAAAGAGATTTTGGCTTTCTGGAAAAGGACAAGTCTTCGAGTAAGTTACTTTCCATCGCGTTTTCTAGAGGGACAGGTATAATTGAAATAAAAATCAAATCGTTTGATCCCAGGGTTTAACACCTCGAGTGTCGCCTATAGGCGTCATGATTGAACCTGGACGAATCCGATTTTAGTTATTCAAAATGGTGGATACAATATGATGGACGACAATTTGAAAATGTTATGCAATTCGTTTGAAAATGAGTACTAGAGGGTTTTCAGGGTCGCTGATTACGAATCCGATGTCAGTTTTTAAAAATTCAAAATGGCGGATTCAATATGGCGTCTGACAATTTGAAAATATTTATTAATTCGCGTGAAAATGGGTACTCGAGGATTTTCGATGTCACTGATTACGAATCCGATGTCAATTTTTTAAAATTCAAAATGGTGGATCCAATATGGCGGACGACTTTTTGAAAACCTAATGCAATTTGCTTAAAACTTATTCCCCGCGGGTTTTCGTTGTCGCTGATTACGAGTCCGATGTTAGTTTTTCAAAATTCAAAATGGCGAATCCAATATGGCGGACGATGTTTAAAAAATTGATCGTCTTTTCTTGAAACTCGTTACTCGGGGGTTTTTAAGGTCGCCGATTTCGAATCTGGCGTTATTTTTTAAAAATTCAAAATGGCGGGTCTAATACTCTCAAGTAACAAGTTTAAAGCAAATACGATTAATTTTGGAAAAATCGTCTTCAGGTTTATGTTCATAAGCCAGTTTTGAGCCATATGCCTTGAATTTAAAAAAAAAATTTTGAGAAAATCTTTTGAGATAGCCGCATGTTTTTTTCACATATTCCTTATAAAACAACCAAACAATAAATATCTGATTTTTTTAAATACTTTATATTAAGTTGAACATTCAAAATTTACATTTTGGGAAATCTCTAAATCATATTTATATTATACAGAATGTTGTGAAAATGAATTACTGGCCTGAAAATATATCACGTTGCTTTAAGAAAATGTGTTTGCTCTACAGCATTGCCAAGCCGCTACATTGTAACCTTTGTCAGCAAATAGGAATTCTACCAATGGCAATATATTAAAGAAGTTATATTTCCAGCGAGATTAAACTTGTGGTGAAATATATTACAGAAACAGATGACACACACACACATATATATTAATATATATTTTGCCAAAAATCATAACACCAAAAAAGAAAATATTTTTTTTATATATATATATTTCAATTATTTAATTTAACATAAAAGTGAACTTAAATTACAACGGTTTTTTATTCTATTTTTCCCCTTTTTGAATTAATAATTTAAATATCAGTTATAAAGTTTTATATATGAATTTAAATTTGTCTTTTATTATACTCTCTTTAGGAATTATATATATTAATGCGAAAATAATAAATAATTGTTATTAAAATTCTTTTACACTATGTTAGCTATAATCTAACTGTTTAAAAAAAATTTTGATCAATATAGTTTGAGATGAAATATTCAGGACAATGCCGTTAACACCTAGTTGCGCATTAATAAACTTGGCTAGAATAGCGACACTTTGAGTATCTGTTAGGTTGAGCTTGCTCTGTCTTTATGAAGGTAGAATATTAAAATTTCCTTCACTAACTTTACGAGCTCACTCTACATAAACAAAAAGCGCAGATTTTTTTAAAAATTATTTTAAAGGAATTATTAATTTTCCAATTTAACTACTGATTACATACCCAAAAGAAAAATTATCAAACTTTAATTTAGAATTAATTTTCTCTTCTTTAGAAAAGTCTATATTTATATTGCAGTAAATTTATATATTATTTTTTTATATTTTACAAAGAAAAATTTACTTATTACGATAGTAAGTTTCCTACCTTTTTAGAACTGACACGGAAATCAAGGAATCTTATTGAAAATTAAATGTCTATAGTTTAGACGCCTTGTTTTGGACAAAATCTCAAAAGATTGCGGCGATATGTATCTCAATAAATAAATAAATGAATAAAAATATCAAATTCCAAGAAGTCGAATGACCATTTTATTCAATTGTTAAAAGTTCGAAAAAACAAAATATCGATTTGTTAAATGTTCGAATTACCACAAGATCGAATTGTTAAAAACTTTCGAACATCCCAATCATTATTTTTCTTTATTTTAGAATTTTACTAACAATGTAAAAATACTCAACTTTAAATTAAATTTTTGAATTTCACTCAAAATCTTTAAAACAACTCTTCAGATAAAATCAACAAATTTGGGGGCGCTGATATACCAGATTCATAATCAGCGATCCCAAAAAGTGCCGAGTGAATTTTATGCTTTTTGATTAGGAAAATTTTGTACTATTATAATTGAAAAAAAATTACAAAATAGCAAAAATTTTGAAAATTTGACTCGATTTTGGAAAACGGGTAATGTCATTGAATTTAGCGTAACAAAATTAGGTTAATACACCTTCTATGACCAGTTTGTTACAAAAAGTTAAATAAGTTAAGAAAAAGATTTAAAACATTATGTGATTTAAATTTTGAACAACAACAAATAAAATTTATGTTTAGGTAGATTATTTAAAATTTTAATTTAAATTTTAAAAACTTACGAAATTCGTTACCTAACAATTAGTAATTCCTACTTCTAGGAATGCAATTTCTAATTGTTCAAAATTTTTGAGATTACAGTGAAAAAAAAAGATTTTGGGTTTGCAACAAAATTGTTTGGTTAGTCAATTTTGGTTGTTGTAACCAAATTTTGGTTGGCTGAAACAAAGTCGTAGAGTTATTTCAACCAAAAATTTGGTTAGTCCAAAAAATTATTTGATTAAACATTTTTAAATTCCAACCAAAAAATTTGGTTGCAACAACAAAATAATTTGGTTAATACAACAAAATATTTTAATCTAAAAAACCAAATGTGGAAAATAATTAAAAATTTCATAGAAGCCTTTTTTAAATTTAAATCATTATTTTCTTTAAAAATACACATCAGTTGGACTAACTTTTGTTCTGATTATTTTTGCCTGATTCTTCTTTAATATAACCTCGCGTTGGATATAAAAGTGAGTCTCTTTTACTCGCTTACTCGACAGACGGATTGCATCCTCGCAGGCGCGGTGGTTACAATACGATTTTCTAAACGAAATATAATAACTAAACTTGGATTAGTAATAGTTCTGACTTTTACAAAATTAGTCTCTTGTAAAATATTTTAAACAAACAAATTTCAGTTCAACTACTTTAATTGCTAATTCATGCGGTTTAGGGCTGTTTATGCCCCAATTTATTATTCAATTCTCTTCAAGTTGGATTTTGCAGTCTCTTTTGGACCAGAAAGATTTTTGTATTAATTCTTTAATTGCGCTATTGTTATTAGCTGGATTCAACGAGAAACAATTAAAGAAAGCAATGATAGTATAATTTGTTTATTTTTTAAACAAGAAATAAAATTCTTAAATACAATGTAATAACAAGTGGTTTAAATTAAATTCTAGATTTCAAAAAACTATTCCCAAAGACGTAATTCATTTCACAAAAATTTTAATTTTTACTATATATAAGAATATGTAAGTTTAAATTAAGTTAAATATATTCTTTTGAAAATATCATTTGCTTACCGAACAGTATAAATTATAATACATTTGTTCAGATGAATTTTCTGGAATTTATTTATTTTACACACTTATATAGAACAAAGATTGTGACGTTTCTAAAATAATAAAAAACACCACACGTGGAAAAAATTATCTATCTGAAAGTTATACTTCATAGCTTATACATGACTCAAAATTGTTTCATCAGTTAAAGCTCGCTCTTGACTTAAAATTCGAACAAAATTCTACTTTGGCTCAAAAAGAAGTGGAAATTTTTTTTTGAAGTTCAAAACAAATTTTTAATTTTATTCAATTTCAAAAGATCGCATAACTAAATATGAGAAAAAATTTTTCTTTTACCACAAATAAATTGATAATAAAAATTATTTTAATTTTCATCTAACAAAAAATTGGCAGCGGTGGGATTCGAACCCACGCCTCCGAAGAGACTGGTGCCTTAAACCAGCGCCTTAGACCGCTCGGCCACGCTACCTTTTTTTGCCCACAGTCTTGTTGGATATCTCGACGAGTACACATCGCCTCTGCCTCTCTATTAGAGATATGAGCTTTTTGTAGTATATCCAGCCTGAAAATCTTCTTGAGTATATTTATTAGTGTTCTAAAGTTTTCGTGTTTAGTGTATAATTACAATGATTGATACTCTCTAGAATTAGTGACTATTTATTTGTGTTTTAACTAAGGACGATTTTTCGCGTGGTTGAACACAATGAATAATATGTTGAATGAAGGGACTGTTCCCTCAGCTTCTGACAGATTGGAAAGGAACCGACTAAGAAAACCGATAAGAGATCTAGATGGATGGTCAAATTCTCTTGA